CCGGGCCCCGGGCTGCTCGCAGCGGCCCACGGTGCGCGGGGCCGGCGGGGGGAGGGGGGGTGCGTGGGCTGGGCCCCAGGAGGCTGCAGGGGACACATCCCCGCGTCAGCACAGCCCGCAGCCCTGCACCTCCAGGGCAGGCCGAAGCGCAGGGCTGAGCGGCTGTGCAAAACGAGTAAACAAAGTGCAGCCACGGGGGAGCACAAGAGGCAGGCGGAGCGCCAGGCAGGGGCTGGGGAAGCCCGGCCGGCCCCGGCTCCCTCGGCGCAGTAAGGAGGGTAGTGACTGGCGCCAGAGGCAGTTGCAGAATGGGGGGCAGAGAGGGGGCAGGGCTTAGGGGCTGGCCCCTGCTTACCTTTAAATAAAAAAAAAAAAAAAAAAAAAAAAAAAGAAAAAACCCAAAACATTTCTGTGCTGTGCAAAAGACACTTTGTACAATTCAAACAGAACAAACTCCATGCACATGAATGGGGCTACAGAACACCCCAAGCCAGGACCCGGCTCCGTGGCACCACCTGGCAAAATCCCAACAAAAACAGGGCTGGAAATAATACTGATGCGCAAAGTCCCCTTTAATAGGCGGGCAGGGAGGATTGTCGCTGAGCCCAGCCCCGGCACATGCAGGATGAGCTTCCAAGCACTGCAGCTGGGGTCTTGCTGATGCCCTACAGTGATGGACAGACACAGAAGGGGTCGCAGGCAACAAAGCCACGCTGGCCACCCGGGAGCCGAGGGGTGCTAAGATGACACAGTCACTGCCGTCAGGGCTCCGTTCCGGGTGTAGTAGAACTTGCTGAATGCCTCTTCAAGTAAACAGGTAAGTCTGTTCTGGTCAGCCTGGGAAGAACAAGCTACAGTGAGGGGTAGGCTCAGTCTGTGCAAAGCTAAGAGCTTGGCTGAAGCCTGTCAGGGCACACGGGCAGGGACGCATCTTATTTCTCCTACCTCCCCAGCTAGAAAAGGACTGATGTGGCATAAGCCATTTAAGTTTGAGGAAGGAACGCAGACCTATATCTGTACCTGAGCCCCAGGCCTGCTTACCTCACTGATGAATCCAAGTTGGACCAGTTCAGCTGCCAGCTCCTGGATGTTGTCATCTGCAACACACGGAAGGGTCTAAGTCCCAGGTCTGAGTGCACTGCTGGCCCCAGTGCACCACAGCATGGGAACAAAGGTACTTACTGGGCTGCAGGTCACAGCTCAAGTGTCGATTCAACTTGTCTTCCAGTTTCAGCAGCAGTGTTAACTGCAGGGTAGAGAAGTTCTCATGAGGGACTGCAGTCTGGCAGGCTGACACAGGCTGTGGCCGCCACAGCCCGTCAGAAGCATACCCATTAATCCCCATCAGGATAGGAACCACCCCCTCCAGAGCCCCACAGGAGTCTAACCGAACCACCGCATCCAATTCCATTCCAAACCACAGCCAGCAGCACCATCCTGCAGAGGAATCCTGAATGTGGGGATGGGCCAAAAACATATGCTACATGCCAGGTCAGCCACAGGCACAGGCCTGGATCTGGCTTTGAGCCCCAAAGATGGCAGCTGCAGCAGCAGCAGGTCACACCAGGCACCAGCAGCACATCAGCATGCTGGAGCCATGAGCTCTGCACAGCTGCCCTGGCACACCCCCACACAACATGCTCAGCCAGAAGATGGGAACATACATGGTGCTTCACTCCCTCCTCTACTGACTCAATGTTACACTGCATCAGCACCACCTGAAACAGAAGCAGAGACACCCTGTGACTGACTGCTGCTGTACAGCACGGCTGCCTGGGGAGGAACGGAGCTCCCATCTCTCACCTTGCGGGTCTCCACCTCAGCAGGCTCTGGAGTCGGGGTTTTCACTGATGGTGGAGCAATGGGAGACTTCACCACTACCTGCTGGGGCTGCTGGGGTCGCGGCATCCCAAAAGCTGTGAGTGGGTAGATACCATTCCTACAAGAAAGGAGCAGGGTGTGAGGTTATACCTCTCTGAAATTTTTCCAGTCTCACACACAGTTAAAGTTACCCTTTAAAAAAAACACTCTTACCGTACATCCTCCAGGAACTTGTCCAGCTCCAATGCTGGAGATTGTGAGAAGCTGGGGAAAAAAAAAAAAAAAAAAAAACAACTGAGGTGAGAAGTCATCTAACAGAACCATCCACTCAAGTCTCTTCAGATGCAATTTCAAATTCCCATGTCCTAGACTATGGCTGTGTCAGTGGGCAGGACAGAGACAGCCAGCCAAAGGCAAGACAGACTCCAGTCTTCCTGTACAGGAAGCAACTATTAAAAGAAGCCAAGGATGAGGCAACATTTTAATTATGGCAAAACAGGTATCACCTCCCTGTAGAGAGTTGTCCAATGCAAACAATTATTTGGAAGCTAGCCCAGTAACACCATGTTCCTAGCAAGGTTTTTCCAAAGACATCTGTTATACCAGGCCCATGAAGCCTGTGTCCCATCTCCAGAAGAGCAAGGGCACTCACCACTGCAAAGGCAAGAACCTCTGCAGCACCTGATGGCACAGTATGACCAGCCATATCACTCCAGGCCAGAAAGTACACCTCAGGATTTAATGTCCTGCCCAAATATTTCTCATTGGAGTTTGGGATACTTTTGTTGTCTCTGTAATTTCTTTCCCAGATTGCTCGTTCTGCTTGGTGGCTTCTCAATGTAGTGTCCCAGAGGAAGTCTTCCCCCCAAATTCATTGTTAATTCCCCAGCCTCTAAATCCATTGAACATCTTCCTTGCTGGTGGCTGATGAAGGATAGGATAGTAAGCGCTGACAACCCCTCCCCTTTGTGCCGTAACTTGTCATATGTCTACTGCTCTTCCTCTTTCTCACCCTCAAGAACTTACAGTTCCTCCATGTGGTGACAATGATTTCCAGCCCCGTGGTGAAGCCAGCTCCCTGATCTGCTCCAGGACTGTTCACAAAGGTTGCCACTTTGTACATGTGCATTGTGCAGGCAACGTCTTTAGATATTTCACCCAACTACTGTTACCCTCTCTCCCATTATGTGGCACCTTGATACCATATTTGCCCTCATCTACAGCTGCACAGCAGTGAGTTTTCAACAAGCTGGAAATGGTCTTTTCCCACAGTGTTACTTCACAGCCTTCTCAGAGCAGCAGTTCTTTTTTCTCTAAAGCAAGCTATTAATTGTCTTTTACACAGCACACAGAGTTAGGAACACCAGAACAGTCCACAGCGAGTTCCTCATTTCTTTCTGGTTTTGACTAACAAGGAGACACAGGTTCTCCTACTTTACTAATTCCCCAGTAGAACACTTTCCTCATCACCTAGTCAATTCAGCTTTTTAGTGCCCACTTGACCACAGCTTCTTTTAGACTGGTTGCAACAACAGTTGTACCACAGTCTGTACCACTGTCTTAAGACTGCTTTGAAGAATTTCAGAGATCAGTCAGAGACTGCAAGCTGCTCAAATCCTGCCATGCCCCCCCCCCACCCCCCAAGTGCTTTGCTGTTCCATCAGATCTGGTGTAGGCTGCACATCTGCCTTACTTCCCCAGATCACTCTCCAGCCCTTTTCAACACACAAATCATCTGTTACTTTCCCATCCTCTAGTACAGTAGTAGTAGTAGTTTTCAGCAAAAATTTACCATTTTTTCTAGCAGCTCATTTTGCATGGCACATGATGCTAGCTGACATTTCAAGTCTTTACTATGCTTTCGTTTTCATTTTCTAGAACCTCTGAGGTACTGCACTACCAAAAAGCAAGTTCCAGGCTGGCATATGCCTGATAGCAAATCCTCTGCAGACTGAAGTCCAATATGTGTAAAGAATCTCTCTTGCACAGCTTTGGCTATTCACTCTTTATCCTCTATTTTGAACCTTTAATTAACAAAAAACACTCCAAAGGGAATTCAATACTGTTATTTACTAGCGCTATGAAGATCAGAATGTCTGTTTTTAGAAAGGTCTATATGGCTCAAAGAGCTTCTCAAATGAACAGTGCTTTTTCTCCTTGTCATCTTGATTACTTTTGTTCAGTAGCCTGAGCATCCCAGAATGCTGGGGCTACCCTGGATGCACCCTGGTCTTCTCTGGAAATACAGGATTCACATCTTAGTCTTTTCAGCTAACCCTTCAACTAGCTGAGGTTTCGTTACCTAAAATTTAACATCACCTTTTTGGCACTCTACTTGCTCCACAGATATTACGGTCACTTACTTAGAGGGCCATCTCTATAGCTTAAGTGGCTGCTACATGTTACCAATAGCTGCCCAAAACAGCCTTTCCCTTTGCATATTGTAGAATAAGCTGCTCCATTAAGAAAGCACTGAAGAACCATTTCTCCAATATGTTGGACTCCATTTGACAAGCCTGTGATTGGTCTGAGTCACTTCCCCAAACTGTTCAGCCAGGTTTTGCTAAGGACTGTTCCAACTACAGTGTGTTAATTTCCCACCCTTCTATGTGGGGAACAATTCACATCTTAGCTACATGGAATCTGTTCACAGAACATGGGTGCAAGGTCTTCTTCCACCCAGGAGTTACCTTCCACAGAATTTTTTGTGCCCAGAGAGTGACTGCTCCTTCACCAACAGCTCCCTTTTGTTTCCCAGTTAGTGGTGAAATACCAACACTAACTTGAAGGGAAGAGTCCCAGGCAGATCCTTCAGTGCTCACCCCAGTGCCCATGCATCTGAGCAGCCCCCTCCAAGCACACCACAGGGTACTCACATCATCTTGACTCCTTCCCTGTCCACATGATTAATCTCTGCCAACACTGCACTCATGTCAAGGTTTTTGGTCATTTCTTCTAAAGCATTTTCAGGAATCATATCTATTTAAAAAGAAAAAGAACAACTGCAATTCCTTTCCAACCTAAGAAAAGCAATAAAAACCCCAGAGCCTTTAGGCTGTTAAACTCCTGTGCCATTCAGAGCAGCCAGGGCACCATTGTCCTCCAGGCTCTGCAGTGACCGCAGCTCTGTTTCACAAGGCCCTGGTCCCTGCCTGTTAAAAGCAGCATGAAGGTCTTGGTTTCCAAGATGCCAGCTGTACTGACACCTTAGTGAAGCTTTGCAGAACGTGAGAATGTGCCACCCTGGGACCCCATACTCACGCTGATGTCCAACGATACAGTGAGCAGCCAGTAGCTTTAGTGATGGCACCTCAAACAACGCCTGATGAAAAAGGAGCTCCCGGGCAGTAGGACGCTTGCCAGGGTCCTGTTCTAGACACTTCTGAATGAACTCCTGAAAGACAAAAATTGCCTGAGACCATGTGCAATACCAACACGTCTGCAGGGACACTGATCCCTCCTCACTCACCCTCTGCAAGGGGTCCTCCAGCAGCTGGATGGCACTGTTAATGGCCTCCTGGGGCACATAAGACGACTCTCCATTACCCTGTATTTCCAGCACCGCCATCTGCAAACACAAAGCAGCGTATCAGACTTCACTGAGAATTAGTGACTACATTGAACAGAGTTCAAGGAGATTGCTGCCAAGTGTGAGATCATAACAGCCAAGTTGTTTGGTGCTATTTAAGGTCACAGTTCATAGAGGCAGAGAGAGAATGGCTGCCTCATTATGGTAGTTTGTTTCTAGCACCCTAACAGATTGCCAGGGAGACCAGAAAGCTATGCCAGCATCACCTTAGACAGTAAGTATCTCCATTTTGAATCTCATGCTCCATTGGCCTGTACTTCTGCTTGATAATTCCCATCCTCTAATGAAGCAGTAACTGGATCACTGCCAGAATCTGACAGTGTCCCTCCTGGCTGTATGAATAGCACTGTATTACAGGCAGAAAAGCAAGCACACAACACCATCCAGAACTGGCTCCAGCCAACACATACACAAATTTCCAGCTAGGAAAGGCTGGCAAAAGATTCCAGAGAATGTCTTAAGAGTTAGCTCTTGTGTGTTTCCACATTTCTCTTCCTGCTTCACTTATAGGGTGTGTAGCATAGGTTGAGAATTCTTTGCATTGGCTCTTTCTGACCATTCTTCCCAGAAAATACTCCTACCAACAACTCCCATTTCTTAGACTTAGTCCTACTGATTGCAAGGACAGAGGAACCACTAAGCTACTAAGATCAGGTACGTCAGACTTTCACCTGACTGCAACCAGCACCTGTATCACATGGGGACAGGCTGGTCCAGAAAAGTTAAGGACCACCTCTTTCCTCTCCTCCAGATACCACAGGGAGAACAGATACTCCCCAGAAGGGGAGTTTTGTTCTCCACGTACATTAAGTACAGTTTGTAGCAGTGACTTCCCACCAGCCAGTGGGTTAGACTTCAGAACTGGCCAAGACCCGCAGAGTAATAAATTAAACATTAGGAATTTCAGAAAGAACTGCACATTACTGAGCTATTTGCTTCTTAGTAAGGCATTTAGGGGAACCTCCATAGGGATCCCTCCAAGGTAAAGTGTGTTTGGCTCAGAGAACAAAATGTACTTGTTACCAAGTTAACCCACCCATAACCACAGCATGTCCACATTCATTCTCTCTGTCCCATAGCCAAATTGTTCCACACTCACCTCCAGTGCACACATCCCAAAGGAATAAATGTCCACAGCAGTGGTGACGTTGGCAACTTCTGTAACACAAAAATAACGCTCTGTTAATCAGTCCATCCCTGCATTTAGCAGTACCAGCAGGACCACCTCTGTATCAGGCTGCGATAATCTTGCAGCCTTCTCTCCCTGCTCTGCTATCAAAAGACAGAGGAGTTTAAGTATTTAAGCAGGCAAATAACTCAAAACTGTTAATGTGACATATGTCATGAGCTTGTAGCTGAAAACAAGACACAGAACAGCTTGGAAGCATTAGCAAGGCCAACAAAACCAGGCCTGCAGCTGTAGCCACACCATACCTCCATATTCTGGGGCAAAGAAGTGCAGGTTCTTCTGCTCCTCACGACAGGTCTTCACATGGTTGTTAATTGTGTCCGGTGCCACTAGAAGAAAGTCAGGAATGCTTAGGATACAGGAAACTGTAGCCCATCCCCAACTAGATCCTATGGAACCCACGCAACTCCAGGGCCCTCTGGTGCCCAAAGGGGAAGCACAGTGGAGTTAAGTTGGCCCTTCATCAGTCCCCTCATCTCAGGTCACCTGTCCTGATATACTTCTCTATTGTTTCCTTGGCTGCAGATCAACTAAGGCAGCTTAGCATTACTCTCCAAGAGCAAACCTGGAGACCACAGCTTTTGCTTAATAGGAAGACAAGCTGGGAAGGACTCCCTGTTGAAGTGCGAGTCCTGAAAGCACCTAACTTACATCAGATCTATAGCATTTGTCACAAGCCACTCAACTATGACAGAAGCCCTAGGAACAGCCAGAGATGCCAAGATCACTGCAATTAGTCACCACCTCAGGGCTCTAGGAGAGGGACAGACCTACAAGGCAACTCTTCCACGTATCAGCAGGGCACTGGTGCCAAAGTACCTCAAAAGTCAAGTAAATCTGCTGAATGAGGAGAGATGACCACACAGACAGCAAGGCCTCCCAGCAGCCAGCACCCACACAGCAAAAAAAAAAAAAAAAAAATCACAAACCACTCGGAGCTACCGGGAAGGAATAACTCCCAGCCACAAGAACAACGAGCAGAACCCAAGTATGGACCCCCCATAAAAGATAAGCCTTCAGGACAGCCACCTCTGAAAAGACTGCAAACAACTCTCCAAAGCTAAGCAGCTGGCTCCTCCAGGGAGAAACACTGAAGCAGGCAGGGAACACAGAGTCACCATCCCATCTGAAGCTGTACTTCCACCTTTGAACATGACTGGTCCCACAGTCTCAGGCCCATGTCCCACTTCGTCAACCTCCTGGACAATTGCAATTGGTCCTGGTCTGTGCTGCTACAATGTGGACTTACATGGGATGTGCCAAACCATGTGTATTTTTCCAGGTGTTCCTGGATTAGGGCAGGACACACCAAAGAGGATTCCTAGTTGGATGAGACTGAACTAGTTCCCAGCCTCAGAGGAAAGATGTTCTTTTGGGCTCTAGTCAGACAAGAAGGATCTTCCTTGGTAACTCAGCTCAACCTTGCTGTGTGGCACATACCAAATCATATTATCTTATCTGACCATTGGAAACGGAGCTTGCTCCAATGGCCAGCAACTACCCCAACCAACCGTTCATCAGTAGTTTACTGCTTTTTGTTCTTGTGCTAGCTCTTATCTTGGGAGTCCAGTAAGATTACTCAATTCCTGGTGCTTACCTGTTTACAGACACCACCAGGTCCTCTCAGCTTCACAGCACTAAGCAAAGCAAGCTAAATTCTTTGTCTTCCTCTTAAGACCTGCTCTGCATTTTCTCAGTGACACCGACTGCTTTAGATGAGCTCTGGCCAGGGCCACGCACAATCACACCAATTCTCTCTACAGGCTACTCTGCTCCAACAATCGTAACAGTGCACACTAGGCAAGTGGGTCAGATTCCTCCCTTAACAGGTCCTCCTCAGTTCCCTAATGATGAGCTCTGGACTTTTTTGCAGCTTTGTATTTTGCACTGCTGAGCGAATTCCAACTGGAGTTGTCCAGTCCTCTAATGTCTTCCTGTGCTTCTCACCACCACACATTCCCCACATTTCTATTAACAGCCTCAACATTAATGAGATCAATGCCTGAGGGACTCCAACCCCTCCAGTGGGGCAGCCCTTTTTCAGCTTCTACCCTGTCACCATGCCTCCAGCCAGTGCCTGACTTGGCATACAGGGTGTATCACGCAAGGTTTGTCCAGCACAACAGGTTCTCATACTGGGCTTTCTAAAGAGGTTCCCAGACATTCACAGTGGAGAAGTCCTTTTAACTTGCTTTTGTCTATGGGCAGTATCTGCCTTAAGTAGCCTGCTGGGTATGTCTGGTCTATAGGTGGCTACTAAGAGAAGAGGGGCTATGTCAGGTCTTCTCCAGCAGCTGGATTTCCTCATCATTACTGCCCTTTCCTGTTTCCTTTCTGTAGATGTTTTAGCCAGGTTTAACAGTACCGCCCCCTCCCCCTCCAAGTAATTTATTCTTTTCTACTCAAAAGAACAATTCACCACTGTAAAAACAAACAATTAATACTGTCAAATAAGGTTTTGCCTTCTTAAAAAAACAAACCCCCCCCCCCACACACACACACACACTGCCACTCATTACTTTCAGAACTTCTGCTGGAGACCTGCAGGAACTAAAAATAATTTTGCCTAAATCTACAGTATACCACTGGTGGGCATGAGGGGTGGCAGTAAGGACAGCTACAGCCCTGTGACAGGCCAGAGGCTGATCACATCCAGAAATGCAATACTGCTGCAGATGCACAGCCACCTGAATACTGTGAAGTTTGTGACCAAGAACAAATTTTTCCTTCAAGTGTCCAATACCATTAAGATTTTGGAATTCCCCTGAGGCCTAGGCTATAGTGCAATCATAGGGTCTCGCTGATCCCCAATGGGTTTGGTCCCTGTCTACAAGAACTATTACTTTGTCCCAGTTTATGCAGAACAGGGTATTTAAGACTTCAGAAACCCTTCTGCTCCAAAGTATGAATTTCTTATTATTTTTTTTTCCCAAATGGAATACTGGAAGCCTTAGTTCATGTATACTGCATACTGCACAATCAAACAGGTGTTTTTGTGAACCCTGCTAAACCTAACATCTATTGCATGCATGAGAGCCTCTGACTACCAGGAACTAACTAGACAATCTGGGGATATAAAATAAGACTTTTTATAAGTCTTCTATTCATTCTGCCTTTCCTATCACAGCACAATGGATTGTAGGAGTAAATAGGAACCCAAACCCCATCTTCAGCTATGCAGTTCTGTACAGTCAGAGGTCTGGCAACCACCACCAAGATCCTGCATGTAGCTGAGCTGCTGCCAGGGCAACACCACTGTCCAGCCAGAGCCAGACCCCTGGAGAAGGGCAGAGGCACCAAGGCCTGCCCTGAGAGAAAGGCACTGTGTCAACAGTGACAGCATTGCAGAAATTCAGCACATGCCATCAAGTGTTGCACCAACATCCTCAGGCAGGAACTCTGGCATGGTACTACCCGGGACAATGCTATCCTGCCAAACGTGGAGCAGAATCAGTGAAGTATAAAGTCATCTTCCAAAAGATGTTTTGATTAGCTTCATTTTCCAATGTGTCTTTAAATACTGTTACTACTGCGTGTTGGATGGTAAGGGTCAGTTTGCTATCCAGCCATTCTGTCCTTTGCTCCTGGGCCCTGTTTAAGAACAGGGAAGAGGCAGTAATCAATCACAATTATCAACAGAAACTTTAGCCAGTGATGTAACATAGGCACTCCCATACCAGAAAGGCAAGTACAATGGAACCCTAGCCCAACCTCTATCTATAATGGCTGTCTGCCCCTCATTAAGGACTTGATAATAAGCTTCTCTGCATCCAGGTCCTATGGACATTTTGCAGTGGCACCAGAATTTCTGGAAAGAGCTGGGCTTGCACTGTCTGTGGGAACCTCCAACTCAGACACACTTTGTGAATTTGAATTTGCAGTTGTAGGCAGTTTTGAATTTGTTGTTGTAGATCATCCAGGGACCCATCCCCTCTGATATTCTCTGGTCCTTGTGCCTCCAAACTTGCAGAATCCCACTGGAACTCCTCAACATGTTTTTCTATCACTGTTGCAGAGACTGACTCTGCAGCTGGGTTTGATTAGCCACACTTGGCAAGCCTTTTTCCTGTTCTAACAGTTTATATGACAGCCCACATGCAACTTGGCTGGAAGTCACATGCATAACCTTGCTCTGTTATTGCAAAGCTGAAGCAATGCAACAGTAGAGCAATGGCATAAGACTACCAGATTCTTCACTGTATGCCTTAGAGCTAAGCAGAGACAGCCTTGCCAGACACACATCTGTTCCATTCACCACTGTGACAGCAATGACCTTCTATTGAAGTCAACTCTGAAAAACTCACTGCAAGCATGTTAAACAAGGCAGGCAAAAGTGCTGTTACACCTCGTGACAGTATTTTAGAAGCTGGGACAAGAAACTTTGGTTTTGGTCTGGTCTAGTCACTATTGTAGGTCCATCACCTTGGTGTGCAAGCCACTTAGCACAGATAGAGGCTTGAGAGGAGCTTCGCCTGAGCATACATTTAAAAACAAACTCTTAACTGTACAAGGTAAGAATACACACTTTAAGGTTCCTCTGACACAAGATCTTCTGACTGATTCGCACGTGATGGCTACCTGCCATCCACTACTATTTCTAGTGATGACTCTTAATTCTGTGAATGATCAGATGCATGAAGGCTAACGACAGTTATGTTAAGCAAGACAAACAATGAAGGTCAAAAAGAAAGCTAGATCACCAAAATTAACAACAAACACGCCTTTCTTAGCCACAGAGAAGACAACAGCAAGGGGCAGACTACAAGACATAGCACCACATGACTTATCAGTCTGTTAGGGAATTAGCAAAGCAAAGATGAACTTTAGAAAAGGATTCAGCCAAATATAGTGTCCGTGCAGGGCAGATGACAGGAGAAGACGTGAAGTACAGCAGAAGGTAGGACAAGCAACTTGCCTTTGGCAAGCTGAACTCAGTCTGACAGTAAAAGCATAAAGAGAAATAATCAGCATTACTACAGGAACTTGCAGAGCTTGCTAGACTTCTCAAACCCTCAAGGACATGCTAGAGCAAAGAGCTCACCAGGGTAAAGAGACAGCTCATCAGAGTGCCTGTCAGTCAGTATGACTATCAGCCAAGAACACCCTTGGTGGTATTACTTCCCAACTGTCACCCGTGGCAGGTTTTAGCAGAGATGCCCAATCACACAGCGACTTGCCCTTTTAAACACGACATGCTGTAGAAGACATTTTCCTCTTGCGCTGCGTCCAATTCACACCCACCTTGTTACGCATTCAAACTTCTGCCTTGCAAGTAGGAAAGACAGTCTGCCCAACAGTCCTTCCTTTCCTCTTGAAGTAGTCATTGAAC